CGAGCCTGAAAATTGTTCTTTTGGATGAATTTGAGCCTCAATACTGGACAGTTTATATGACAGGTATTTAAATGATGGGAAAATAGAGAATTAAACTGAAAGTAGATACTGTATATGATTAATGGGAGGGAAAAAACCCCACAAACCCATAAAATAAAGAAGCTGAGATAAAGTTCAGAGAGAAAACTACCAGTGCAGAGTAGGAGTGAAAAACAAGCAGTGGACAAGTAAAACAAAATTCTAGCCATGTTTATTAGGCACAAATGCTGAAAGGAATAATTTTTGAGCCATTTGAATTCACGTCTCATCAGACAGAAATCACTTCACCAAGGTTTTCAGCAGAGTGAGGCAAAAGGCCCAGCTCCAGAGCCTGGCAAGGAGCCTTTTCCTTCCAAAGGAAAGCCAAACACCCCAAAGGGTCACCCCAGGGTCAGGAGCCCTTCTGAGCCCTCCTGAGCCCCCAGAACAACTGCAGGGACAGCTGGTGCTGCCAGGACAGAGCCCAGGGTGCTCCTCACAGATTCCTCAGTCCCCCTTCCATCCCTCTGCTCTCCTTGAGGCTCTTGCCCAGAGTTTGAGGGCACAGGGATGACAGGATTGCAGCCCCTAAAGCCCTCTCCTGGTTTTAGGGTTTCTTTCTTGCTGTCCCAGCCCTGCTGCAGCTGTTTGGTTTTCCCAGGAAAGCCTTTCCCTTGGGAGCAGGCAGAAAGTGAGGAGCATTATTAATTTACAATTATTTCATAACTTCCCCCTGATGTGCCAAACCTGTTCAAAGGCCTCCTCTCTTTTCATCCCAGGGAATGTGATGTTGGGTACCAGCTGTGCTCAGAGCAACTAAAACTGAAATATTCCTGTTCCCTGGATCATTTTAAGGCTGTAACAGTGTCAATCACATTCTCTACCACGAAAATGATGCACAAAGTTAATGTTTATGTCACTTTATGAACAGATCCCTACAGCCCTGCAAATATTTACACACAGGAGTAAATCTCCTCCTAGAAGCATTTCTATAGGATTATCAAAGAGAACATGACCTTGATAAACCATTTCTCCTGAATATAATACATAGATACACCTAACAGGAAAAAAAACCCCAATCTTATGGAATGTACTAGATAATTCCTCTCATAAGCTCTAAAATCAGTGTGACTAAACCATCTGTGGGGCAAACAACTGTTTTCCTATTTAATTTCCAATTCCCCTTTTAACTGCACAACCCTAATGGCTCCCAATTTTTTCCTCCACACACATTGCAAGCAAAAAGACACTGTGGAATGTTTCTCTCTTATCTGGATATTGTCATTTTACTGTCTCAAACTTCTTAAAACAAGCTTTTGGCCAGGGAGGAAATCAGTCAGCATCAGACCTAGTGGGGAAACCCTGCACTTGCTCAATGTCTGTGGCTTTACATAGTTCCAGATGTTCAGAACATTAATAATGCACTAACTCAAAACCTCTTTTTGAAACTCTAGAATGTGCAAATTGCATTAAAACCTCTTTGCCCTCATTAATGGTATTGTTACAATCCCAGTCCTCTGGAAAATGTTTTTTGGCATTTGTTTAACTTTGTGATATTGCCATTTACTCATTTTAACAGCCAGTGCTTGAATCTTAATGCTTTTAATAGGCCTGGTTAAACAGACTACCATCTTTTGGAAATTTATTGAAGTAATTTATTAAATAAGGAAAAGTTGTTTTATCGATGGCAGAAAAAAACAGGTCACTTAAACTTATTTACAAATCTGTGTTTCAGGCAAGTTTTAGAAATTCAAATGTTCTGTTGGATTTTCAGTGTTCAGTTCATTCTGGGTGGAAAGAAATAATTTCTCCCAATCTCACATGTCTCAGCAAGAAAAGGGTCTGTCTCAACAAAGAAGAGCAAGTGATAAAAGCTACTTTATATCACCATAATCTTACCCCAAAATTCTCAAGGGAAACAGTTAATTAATGCAGCATTAATTAATTACATGCTGATTGTGCCACTTTCCTAACTCACACAGTCCATGGCAATGCCAATTTATGATCATCAAATAGTTTGGGCAAGAAGGAACCTTTAAATGTTCAACCCAGTTCAACCCCCCTGCAAGGAGCTTGGGTTCTCAAGCAAAAGAATTCTTATCAATTCATAATTTCATAAAACAGTCACTCAAACCCACTATTTAAAAACATTTTGCTTCCAAGTTCTGACTCCTCAATTAGCAGCTACAAATTAACCAACAATAATCCCTCAGAGGAGAACACAACAGAGCAGCCCCACCAGCATTAACATCCCTGTCCAGAGCTTATTTGGTACAACAAAAAAAAAGCTCCTAAGAAAGGTCAGTTAATTCATCATGATGGATTATCACTAAATTTATAAGCATTAGCATTTTTCTCCTTGCTGGATCCCTTGACTTTGATATGACACATATTGAATGGATCATCTAAGATGCAGCACCAGGCAAGATATATCTTAATGCAGACAGGTTGGCAACATGAGCCCTAATGGGCCTTATCTTAATCTTGTTTAAAAGCATCTTAGATTTCTGGGTAATCTTTTCACCTCCTGATATTCTCTTTTATAGAGTGTTTTTGCTGGAGTTGCTACTGATTTGCACAGAAATGCATTTTTGTTGCATAGTGTCACCGGTTTTCAGAGCCTTAAAAGTGATTCAGGTTTGCAATTTAGTAACTGTTAAGATGAAGCTTATTTTTAAAAAAAGTCAACGTGCCAGAAGTCCAAAAATGACAATAAAAATTTGTATGTTGTTTGTAAATCATCCCATTCATGGCCCATGGCACATCCCAGCTGTCCAGAACAAACCCCTCTCAAATGTGGGAATGTACAGCTGATGTGTTGTCTTCCCACCCAGGTATTTTCCTCCATTGCATCATTAACTCCAGATATTTGCCATACAGATATTTTAAACACTCTGCAATTAAAAATATGTTTATTCCAATACCTGACTAAGATAAAGGGAAATTTCTCCACTGTTGCTTTTTTTTTTGCATTCACATTGCATCTGGTAATTGCAAACTGAAATTCAAACTCCATCAAAGCACCTGCACAGATAATACTCAAAATTCAGAGATCTGTCCTCAGCCTTCCAGACATATAAAAATACTTTATTTTTCACTTATTCCAAAGTTGAAACTTCAACTCATAAAACAGGTTGAGCCCTCAGAAAATCTGCTTAACTCATAACAGTGAGGTCTGTGACCACGTGTGTTAATGAGATACTGACAGCCTAGAAAAATTCATTTTAAAGGTGCAGTTTTTTAAGGAGAGGCAGCAATTGCCTGAGAAAATCTCTGAAAAACAGTCTGGAAATGCAAATATTCTGTTATGATGAAAGAAAAATACCTTGTTTTCCCTGTACTAATATGCTTACATTAGTCTGTGTTCTCAACATATTAATCTCAGACCTACAGGCAACCCAACCCAGAACAAAAGTAGTAGCAAGAAAAAGGGCATCCATAGAAACATATTGGCAATGTGATTTTAAAAGATCATCCTTCAATTGTCTGCAATTTATATTTATCAATACTTTGGCTGGGCTGAGGGAAGTGTTCCCACAAAGAACAAAACCCTCTGAGTGGAGCTGAGTGACCTTTCGGTGAGACAGCAGGGCAGGGAGGGGGAGAGGGTTCCAGAGCTGCCCAGCAATCCCTTTCCTCCTTTTTTAAATGTCATTACAAAGTCTCTCTTAGACTTGCAATGCACATTATTAATCTCACAGAAATATTTGGCAGGTCTGTAAGATCAACAGATCAGCTCTGAGTTCTGCCCAATGTGACACCTTCCCCAAGGTAACGCCGAAAACTGAAACGTGCTCCAGTTTAATTCTCAAATCGACTGAAGGTGAAACTTCCTGTCAGATCATTCCCTTTGCATGTGAGTGTGTGGGTTTGTGAGATATTAAATAAATGTATAGCCAGTAATCTGCTTTTTTCAGTGCTTTCCATTACCTGGTCTGATGTGGTCACCTAATGGTTGCTGCCAGGAACTGCACTGAAACAGTTCCAGAGACACAGAGCCAAGAAATCACTCTCCTTTTGCAGCCCCATCAGTTAAACAGTAAAATATGAAGGCTTTGTATACAAGAATAAACAGTTTTTATTTCATTTTGTGGAATATTCTCTGTTAAGGAATTTTAGAAACGAGGGAAAAGGTCTGAAACCTCTGTTTCCACTATACTGGGCATTTATGATCATTTAGTAGGATTTTTTTGAGGGTTTTCTTTTTTGAGAGGCTTTTGTTTTGTTTGCTGAGATGATTTAAAATTTAAGAAGTCAGACCCTTGCAATCATTACAAGGAAAACAAGTATGAATTACAGAATTATACTGCAGGTTTATATTCCTGTTCCTGCCCATAAATAACAGCAGGAGCTAATAGAGAAGAAAGCAGAACGACTGGGAGGCACAGATTAACCATAATTAGATATCTGTTGGCAGTGAAATTAGATCTTGCATAGTTTGAAATGAAGAAATTCGATTCCTTTCAGCCACTGCCAGTGAGCAATTCCCCTGACCCAAGAAAAATGGACTCCAATCTCCAATGCAGTGACATGGAACAGGAACCAAGGGGAGAAGAAATGAACTGGATGAATCCTGCATTCCAACAGCACAGAAAGGACATGCAAAGGCATCCTTGCTCCTGACTTACACACATGCAGCTCCCTTTCATGATATGTGCTTACATGGAGGAGAATATTATTTTTTTTAATAAATAATTCCAAAACTTTTAAAGGAACAATATAAGAAAAAAATGCAGATCAATCTGGCTTTTTTTTTTTTGTAAAATTAATCAAAACAATTGTAGTCATTACTAAGACACAGATAACTCATGAAAACAAATATGAACACGTTTTTTTGAATGCCAGGAAATACGATACCCATGAAATAATATAATCACTCTGTGTTATCGCAGTACATTTATTTTATAAATATTTTTAAGTGTGCTGATGCATGAAGAAAAAGCACAGTAAGGTAGGAACGGTATGGATTAGGATTTCCTTACCTTATAAGATGGCAAAAAGCAGAGGATTCCTTGGCCAACTGTCTGACACACTGAGAGCAGCAGTGCCCCCACCTCATCCTGGAACTCGAAGGTCTCGGTGTGCTGGAAGGTGGCACAGAGCTTGCGGCCGCTGGGGCCGGTGCCCACTGTGCCCACCCACACCTGGGGAGGGCACGTGGAGAGGGTTAATGCTCAAATATGCAGCACAAACTGCATTAAATTACAGCAGGTTCCATCATAAATTGTAAGTGTGAAGGAATTATTGAGAGAGTTGTGAAGAGATTCACTCCAGTGCTTCGCCACAGTGTGATAACTGCTAGGATGGTGTTACCAAGATATAGATAACTTTTCAGGGAAGTGTGTGTCTAAATCTAAGAACAGGCTGTTCTGGACATTTCTTTTAAATTACAGAACGGGTCTGTCACCATTTTTCATTGCAAGTTGTTGTTTCTTGTAGCATGGGCAGCACTGGAGCTCAGGAGAGGGAGCAGAGGTTACCTGGGAGTTGCGGATGACGTGATTCGCCTCCAGCTGGATGGAAAACCTCACCCCAAGCTCCGAGGAAAAGGAATCCATGGGAGAGAGAGTTCCAGATGTCAGGACGATTGTTCTCACTTCACTGAGGTCAGAAAAGGCCTAGGTGGGAGAACAAAATAGAAGGAATCTAGAAAAATCAGTATAATCACTGTAAGCTCTGTATTTGTTCTCACTCCAGTGAGTCCTTCACTGAGGTCAGAAAAGGCCAAGGTGGGAGAACAAAACAGAAGGAATCTAGAAAAATCAGTACAATCACTATAAGCTCTGCATTTGTTCTCACTCCAGTGAGTTCAGGCCTCCTCACCACAGCAGGGTTCAAGCACCAAAAACTGAGCAGGTGGACGAGGGTCTTCTGCCTGGAACTCTTCCTGTGCCTGGGCCGTGCAAAGTAGGAGCTCGTGTCGGAATCCTCTGGGTGCTTTTCACTCAGCCAAGTGTAAGTTTGCTGCAGAGCAACTCTGTAATCGTCTGCAAACCTGCACAGAGATATGGGAGTGTCAGTAAAAAGGACAAATGAGCCACCAAATTGTGAGCACTGAGCTCAAAAAAATTAACAAAGTGTTGTTACGATGCATTTATAATTTAATTAGAAATAATTTCGGAAGAGAGTGAAACCTTACAATAATTACTAATTTGTAAATAAGGTTTAAATCAGTAATTTTCAGTAACTGCTGGCATTAGCAGTCAAGATATGAAGACAGTCAAATGATAAATGCTACACAGAAAAATACAGCCCAAACATATTTCACTTGGCAATACATCAAGCAAATTTACACCTAACCTTCAAAAAAATTTCTTCAATGTTTAATTTATGAAATTAACCCCAATTTGGTGGTATTTAAGTTCTGCCCACTTCAACAGATTTTTCCCAAAGCTTTTACCCAAATGTTGGCTTTGCTCAGAAGCCAAACACTGGAATTGAGGTGTTCTCAAATGGAAGAGGCAGTTTGGCAAAGCAGCTCCATGAAAGCAGCTCACTGACCTGCTGTTATCTTTGAAGAGATACAGAAGAACCATGAAGAGCCCTTTGAGCACTATTTGGGTGGCAGGGCTCACAACTGGGATCTCAACAAGTTCTTCCCTGCCATGCACAGACCTTTTCTCTTCTTTTTCCAGCACAGTCACGAGATGTTTCTGTAAGAGGCAAATAATTCCACAGTGACAACATTCTAAATGTCTTCTCAAAAACAAAGTAACAAGAGACAAGACTGTCAGCTCCCTGCTTTAAAAGTTCACCTAAGGTACCTAGAAAGCCAGAGAGAAATTGGGAAAAGGAGGGGGCAAAGAGAAAAGGAACCATGCCTTTCATTTTTAACAATGCTTTTAATGTATCTGGCTCACACAGAAAGCAGGGATTAACTTGAAAATAGGGTAAAAACATTTCAACAGTCAATAAAAATGCAGCTGGATACAACAGCAAAACTATCACTGGCTCAGTGGTTCAATTGAAATAATTGTATGTGATCAATTATACCCTTTAAAACATCGATTCTCCACAAATTCCAGGAGCTCCAGTGGATTGATTACTCCTGGTTTTCATCAGGAATCACTTTCAGACAACTTTTCAGCACTAAACTAAGAGATCTTTTTGTATTTAACTTATGTGCACATCTCAAGATGTTTAACAAAACCAGCATTATGTACTTGGGTACTCATTTATATGGCACACGACATTACCTGTAAAATGGGGAAAGTAATACCAGTTATTCCCATTTGGTGCAAAAAGGTGAGCATTTCTTTGCCACTCCACACCTTACAGGAAGTTTCATACCCTCTCTCCACCAGCTGACCAGAGCTCTCCTGCAGCCAGCTGGAAAAGAGGAAAACCAGAAAGAACTTCAGCATTGATTTGAGAGACATTTTGCAAGCACAAACCAAACATCAGGAATTGCACCAGACTCCTGTGGCGATGACAAATGTTTTTTTACTGCATCCAAGGAGAGAGATTCTGCTTTTCCTTTATGTTTTTCACTGTTGAACCAACTTCTACAGAACTGCTCACTGAAGTGAGAAGAAAATTTCTGCCTTTACGCTCAGACTTTTTCATCATATAATACCTTTATTACAAAGAAAAAGGATTAAAATATTATTTCCTTGTGATATGTCAGGCTCATTTAAGAGATATTTCTGCTGTGCTTTTACAGCCACTCATCATTGCTCTGCTGAACATTAATTTAGCATCCTTATTAATTGCAGGCTTTCCTAGTAAGAGGAATCTTGAGGCATGAAATGAGTGCTTTTAGTATTTACACATGGAAGGGAGAGTGGGGTAATAAAAAGTGCATGTTTAACCTACTCACAAGTATTGGTAACTGGTGCAATCTGAAAGATTTGCAGGTATTGGTAACT